GTCCTCTCCCATAAAACGCTAGTGCTGATAGTATCCGGCCAATGGATGTTGAGTATTTTGCATAGACAACTGTTTATAAATACTTGTACCTTCCTGATGATGGTCGTAGTAGTTCTCCATTTCTCAACTCCGTACATTAGAACTATTTCCATGTTCATATTGAACATTGTGACTTGATTAGTGGTTGACAGTTGTTTAGCAATAACCTCGTGACTTCCGAAGAATCTCGGCTTTCATCCTGAGGCGTCATAATTCTTCCTTTAATTTCCAGGGCAGAGTTTAAATGGTTTAATTTGTTAAATCTGGTTAACGTATTTTTAGCAAGATTTTTTTCTATGGAATGAGATTACTAATCCCATTTCCAACCCTCCTCCTTTACCTGGGCTTGGGACTGACAACCATTCTAGCAGATCTACAGATGGAGTTCTTCAATTGATGAATGCTAAGAAATACGACTAAATACATACATATATGACATTAGGTCAACTAGATTTGAATAAGATAACTATTGAAACTGATTGTTTTGTACTTTTATAATTGAAACCATTTGTACATATCAATTGTCAAAGTCTCTTTTTTGACATGAAGATGAAGTAATTCATTCATTCAATAAAAAACAACATTACAATAATCCAAATTGAATAGTTGATCTTTCTTTTAGGACAATATACTACTTAATGTTGACATTATTTCTTTTTATCAGATTATAAAACATCAATTTATTTGACTTCATTGAAATGGATGCACACTGCTGAGGAGTCCCAAAACGGGACGAAACGGTCGTCTAGTGCTTCCAGGTTTTCCATAGTGATCTACCTTTCATTGACTAATGAATTCAACTTTTAAATTTCAAATAAATTAAGCATTGAGTAGATTGTTATAAATAAGAATGATATAATTACATATTTCCAAAGGAGTAGAAAAATTAGATTTCCCGTCGTTTCGTAACTCAGTTTAAGCCACTTCTTCAGAGAATAACCAACTTCAAATTAATCCAAGTTTAAATAATACAAATGAATAAAACAAGTATATTATGTGCCATTAATCACAGAACAGGTCTAAACAAGTCAATGTCATATCATTTCGTTCAAAATTATTTGTAAGCGACATATCTGTTATTCTCTCTGTGTGTGTATGTATGTGAAGGTTCAGGGATGAAAAGATGTGTGACTTCGTGGTGAGAAACGATAGAGTTTAATTTGAATGTAAGATAATAATGTGATAGGATAGATATTCTAAGTCGGATGTATAGTAAGACTTTCTAATTCTATTGAAAGCAGTAGGATTAAATATTATATGGAAAGTTTCAGTTAATCTTCTTCCCTTGTAGTTAGGAAAGTCTTTTACTAAAATTCGTGATATCCATTTGGTGGTGGTTGAAAATGGCATGAACTGCTATCTCCGATTTAATTCAAAGTCTATCCAGGTCTACGAGATTATCAGATAGTTTCTTTGTGTATTGTTTGAGCGCTTATTATGGACTTGAGTTGCTAAAGAGATATGAATGATGTAGATTACTTCAATTCATAACTGACTGATTTCAATTCAGTCTTTATTATCAGAAAAGGGTTTTGTGGAGAATTTAGAAATTTAGTGGTTGAATTGATAAGTCAATTATAGATAGACAACCGTGAGAAACCCGGAAGCATTGAAAGGTCGTTTCGACTTAGTATGGGACTCCTCAGCAGTGCACATCCACAATCTTGATCGTGGGATTCGAACTCTGGACCAATCGATCTTGCTCGAAAACGTTTAACCTCTAGACCACTGAGCCGGTCGGCATCCAGTGGTGTTAATTTCTAACTTCAACCAATCCACGAAATTACTCGACCGTCCAGCATAGTCTGATAAAAGTCCTGGTTGAACTCAACTGGTGATGGCTTCTTACTATAACTGCATTCTTTATTGCCATTGATCTTTTTTCTAGTTGCTTTATCACACACTCATTAAATGTTTGTTAACTCCACGACTTTTCATCACTAGTTCGATGTTCAGAAACGTTCCCTCTCACAATCTATTTATTTAACTGAAACATAATATTAATTCACTTAGTATTGTTTGTTTGAATCTTCCCATTATTGCTTAGGACTGCAACTGGTCAGTCCCTTATTGGCATATGTGCATACTGTGTGTATTGCCTCAATATTGCTTTATTTGACAAGCATTGTAAGCAGATATGGATAGTGGCTAGCGGTGGAATCCAGTTTGACGCGCGTTTCGTCCCATTTGGGACTCGTCAAATGGATGTACCTGCAACTCAGAGTTAATGTTCACTCTGGGACTCGAACACTGTACCTTTCGCTTCAAACGTCATCGAGTTATCCTAGAGTGAACATCAACTATGAGATGCAGGTACATCCAACTGACAAGTATCAAATAATACGAAACGCGCATCAAACTGGATTCCACTGCTAGCCCCTATCCATATTTGCTTACAGTGATACAAAATGTGTTTCTATGACCTCATTAAGTCGATTGGAATCTTAACCACATCATAATACACATATTCATCTCGAATCACCTTCGTAGTCACCATAAGTATATGTCAATATCTGTAATGACATTGATTTTCAATTATGATCAGTTTGAAAGCAGCTGATAAGAACCTAACGATATACAAAACGAATGCATTTACTATACTGCACTAATCTTCATTCTTCTTCTATTTAAAGATAACTAATTAAGGGAACTATTTTGATAGAGTTTTTTCTCTAACCTAGATGGTTCGGTCGCGGAGCTTTCATCATCCTTCTAAATGACATCATCAGCATAAACTTTGACTTCTACTTCCACTTCTAAAAAAGGAGCTATATATTCTAGAACTAGATCATTTTTAATCTAGTTCATAATCAATAATAGTGACATGCATATCAGTAATTAATTAAAATTATCAGCCAAAAGTTGAGATCGGTAAACTCGACATTATTGAAAGGTCATTAATAATCTATTTGATAATATTTAATGGATCATGAAATAAATAAAGTTGACTTACACACACACACACACATACACACTCACACACACTCTCTTACAGTATTGAACATACAATATCCTCTTCTTCAATGTAGGATGTAGACATTAGAAAATCAGTATGAGTTATGTTGTTGCTAATCTGAAAGCATATATATTTCTATTGAATTACAAGAGTTCATAGAATCATCATTGGATACTTAATGAGCAATGAGCTCTAGTACAATCGATTACAAATCATTACCAGTCTCACTTTTCACATTACTTACTTACTTGCTTACTTGCTTACTCACTTACCTTCTTACTTACTTACTCACTCACTTACTTACTTTCTTACTCACTTACTTACTTACTTACTCACTTACTTACTTACTTACTTACGCTTGTTACCTCTAATGAATAAGTATAGGCCACTGAATAACATTCTTCATCCAATTTTGTCCTGGGTAACTTATCATATAAGGTGCAATTTTAAAAAAAACTGTCGATTTAGTTACATAAAATGAAGTATGATTTTCAGCTTTTTCAAACTGATAGTGTTGAGAAGGCTTCCAAGAACTATGACGAAACCTTCAAAGGTCTTCAAGTAGCGAACATTACAATAATATCATTATTAGTATTGGTACTAATAACTAGTTTCACATTATTATTATTATCAATACTGAACAAGTGAAAAGTGACTGATTAAAATCCTTTAACTTGTCAGGGAATACAATGATAAACACCTACAAGAATACTTGTTAACAAACAAACAAACAGAATTATTCAATGTCTATATTCACCGCTGTATAGTAGTCGAATACGACATTCTTTAGTTATACATACATACATACTTACTTACTTACTTACGCCTGTTACTTCCAATGGAGCATAGGCCACCGACCAGCATTCTACAACCCACTCTGTCCTGGGCCTTCTTTTATACTTCTATCCAGTTTTTGTTCATTCTTCTCTTGTCTGTCCCTATTTCTCGACGTAATGTGTTCTTTGGTCTTCCTCTTCTCCTTTGACCTTCAGGATTCCATGTGAGGGCTTGTCTTGTGACACAATTGGGTAATTTCCTCAATGTGTGTCCAATCCACTTCCAGTGCCTCTTCCTGATTTCATCTTCCGCTGGAATCTGGTTCGTTCTCTCCCACACAGTAGGTTATTGTTAATAGTGTCTAGCCAACGGATCCGAACTATTTTAACATGGAGTTATAAATAAATCAAAATATAATTTATTAGTGGTATGTAACTGATAAAAATAACTAATAACAACTGAGGTTTTGCATAGATACTAAATTTATATCCTGTACAAGCCATTGGTAAACTATCATTCTCTTATGACATGTGTATTAAGAGGCTTTAATTACGATTAATTTAATCAATGTTAATCTGTCATGGACCTTTATACTTCAAATAACTCTTAATGAATTTGCATTCACTGTTCTGGATTGTGTAAACATGAATTAATCATTATCTTTCTTGACAGAATCATTAGCTATACATGAGACAGAAGTGAAACAGCTTTTTAAGATTTCGATACTAATGATTGATAGTTTCCTATGTTGACAGTGAATTCAAATGATTATTGTTAACAATTATTATGTCATTCATTGTATGTTTACTTGTTTTTCCAAAGTCGAAACCATGAGCCAATTGAAGCTAGACCACCAAGGAAAACCTGGAAGCACTGGAGGACCGTTTCATTCTATTATGGGACTCCTAAGCACTGCGCATCCACGATCCCGCACTCGCGAGATTGGAACCCAGGACCTAGTAGTCTCAAGCCAGAGCCCTTAACCAATAAACTGCTGAGCTTGACGGCGTCCAACGGTGCTAGTCTCTAATTTAAACTGATCCACGACTTTATAAAAATACTGAAATCTCCACAAAACCTCTTCTGCCTACTTATTTATTCATCTCAAACTAATTAGAATCACAAGTCATCTTCAATAATAAGACTTAAGTCATTTCAGTCCTAACTGAATCCATCTTATTGTTTTGTATGTTTGTTAAATAATTTGTTTTCCATTTTTACTAATCAGGAAATTCTGCTGGAGGATTTCATGGACATCAATCGTTGTGTAGAAATCCAAACAGACCGAAAAGTGAGTTATTTAATTTTACTACCGGAATTTAACACCAAAATTAAAATTGCAAAACCGAATTGAACATAAACGAATTCACCATTCCTGAGGATTTGGTATATTGAGTGATTCATAAAATTTTGGGTATGTTGAAATATGCTATGATAAATCACCCTGGGTCTTGCCAGTACGAAACGTGAATTTTATTAAATGTGCGTTACGCTACTTGAAATGAAATCAGTAGTTTATGAAATTACTTCTTTCCTACTTCTTTCTACAAATCTCCTGGGTCTATCTCACAGTTTATCTATCTTATGCAATCTCGGAGTATATCAGAGCTATTGATTTTTTATCTCTTTTTGTCCAACTTTCCATCAAATTAGAAGGGACAATTTTTAAATTTTCACAGTTGAAATCATGAGTCAATTGAAGCTAGACCACCATGGAAAACCTGGAAGCACTGGACGGCCGTTTCGTCTTATTATGGGACTCCTCAGCAGTGCGCATCCACGAGATTTTTAAATTAGCAAAATTACAAAGTGGATATGGTTTATTCATTTTGTATAAATTGGTACTTGATTTTTTCTGTAATATGCACATACATATATATAGTTAATAGACCCACTATCAGACAGTATAGAGTAGGTATATATTAAGTAAGTAATCAGTGTTATAAAGTTAATACAGTCTCCAAAAGACGGTAATGACATAGATTAGTCCCCTCGAGATAGTGAATGTGCACTGCTGAAAAGTTTCATATTATGAAATAAACAAATATCTAAAGGTTCCTGATATCGTACACATGTAGTATAGTGTTAAAATAACTTAACTTTCAGCCATTCGTTTTCAATTTCAAAAGTAGAGACAGTTACTTTAATCTAGGTAATTGAAACCTATATTTCTCCGTAACTTCTCCAAAACATGTAGTTGATAGATTGAATATCTTTTTAAGAATTTTCGAGGCTTACAAAGAATGCTTTCGTACAAATTATAAATTTAATGGTTGAGTTCATGAGTCAGCTAGAGCTAGACTAAAATGGAAAACCTGGAATCACTGGATGGTCATGTCATCCTATTATGGGACTCCTCATCAGTATGCATCCAGGGTCATGCTAACGGGATTTGAACCCTGATGCAATCTGTCTCGCGTACGAACGCTTAACCTGATGACCACTGAGCCGGACGGCATCCAACGTTGTTCATGTCTAACTTCAAACGATTCACGAAATTGACTCACTATAACATCCACAAAATCCCATTTCTGTTAAAAATTATAGATTCCTCGTAATATAAACATATAAGAACTATAACTGTTCATTATTGTGACTTTGGAATGATCTAAAACCACGTCTACTCAAAGATGGATAGTGCCTGGCAGTGGGATATAGGGCGTTTCGTCCTATTCGGGACTCGTCAGCCGGATATACCTGCATCTCAAAGTTGATAATCACTACAGTTTACTAGTCTACAATAGGACAAAACGCGCGTCAAAACAGATTCAAATGCTAGCAGCTATTCATCTTTGCTTATAACGCTTGTTAATTAAGACAATATCGAGGCAATCCTGACATTATACACATATATCAATAACAGACTGATCAATTGCAGTCCTAAACATCAATGGGAAAATTTAAGTACTTACTTACTTACTTACTTACTTACTTACTTACTTACTTACTTACTTACGCCTGTTTCTCCCAATGGAGCATAGGCCGCCGACCAGCTTTCTCCAACCTACTCTGTCCTGGGCTTCCTTTTCTAGTTCTATACAGTTCTTGTTCATTCTTCTCATGTCTGTCTCTATTTCTCGGCGTAATGTGTTCTTTGGTCTTCCTCTTCTCCTTTGACCTTCAGGATTCCATGTGAGGGCTTGTCTTGTGAAGCAGTTAGCTGATTTCCTCAATGTGTGCCCAATCCACTTCCAGCGCTTCTTCCTGATTTCTTCCTCTACTGGAATCTGGTTTGTTCTCTCCCACAGTAACTTATTGCTGATAGTGTCTGGCCATCGGATCCGAAGTATCTTTCGTAGACAGCTGTTGATGAACACTTGTATCTTCTGGATGATGGTTTTCGTAGCTCTCCAACTTTCCGCTCCATACAATAGAACTGTCTTGACATTTGTATTGAAAATTTTGATCGTAGTGTTGGTTGACAATTGTTTTGAGCTCCAGATGTTTTTCAGTTGTAGGTATGCTGCTCTTGCTTTGCCGATCCGCGCCCTCATATCTGCATCAGATCCACCGTGTTCATCAATGATGCTGCCCAGATATGTAAAGGTTTCCACATCCTCCAAAGCTTCTCCGTCAAGTGTAATTTGATTGGTGCATATTGTATTGTATCAGAGAGTCTTGCTTTTCTCTTTGTTTATATTGAGACCTACTGCTGCTGAGGCTGCTGCTACACTGGTCGTTTTCTCCTGCATTTGTTGTTGCATGTGTGATAGAAGATCCAGATCATCCGCGAAGTCTAAATCGTCAAGCTGCATCCTGCCTGTTCACTGTATCCCGTGATTTCCTCCAGATGTTGACGTCTTCATGATGCAGTCGATGACCAGGAGAAAGAGAAACGGTGAGAGTAAGCAACCTTGCCTTACACCAGTCTTTACTTCAAACGAGTCAGTGAGTTGTCCTCCGTGGACGATTTAGCAGTTTAGTCTATCATAGGAGTTCCGTATGATATTTACTATCTTCTCAGGCACGCCGTAGTGTCGAAGAAGCCTCCATAGTGTCGTCCTGTTCACGCTATCAAATGCCTTCTCGTAGTCGATGAAGTTGATGTAGAGTGATGAATTCCATTCGATTGATTGTTCCACAGTGATCCGCAGAGTTGCGATTTGATCTGTGCACGATCTATCCTTACGAAATCCAGCTTGTTGATCTCGAAGTTGGGCGTCCACTGAATCCTTCATCCTGCTTAACAATACTCTGTTGAAGACTTTTCCTGGTATTGAGAGGAGAGTGATGCCCCTGTAGTTGTCGCACTTACTCAGATCGCCTTTCTTTGGTATCTTGATCAGAAGTCCATTTTTCCAGTCTATTGGTACTTGTTCTTCGTCCCAAATCTTACTGAAGAGGATGTGCAGTATCTTGGCAGTTGCTGCTACATTTGATTTCAGTGCCTCTGCCGGGATGTTGTCTGGTCCCGCTGCTTTACCGATCTTGATTTGTCTAATGGTCATGCTGATCTCTTCAATTGTTGGTGGGCCAACATCGATTGGGAGGTCTGTGGGTGCTGCTTCGATGTTGGGTGGGTTCAGTGGAGCTGGTCGATTTAAGGGTTATTGAATTGTTCTACCCACCTGCTTCGTTGTTCTTCAATGTCGGTGATTACTTTGCCTTCCTTGTTTTTCACTGGTCTGTCTGGCTTACGGTAATTTCCAGCAAGCTTCTTTGTTGTATCATACAGTTGTCTCATGTTTCCCTCTCTTGCAGCCTTTTCCGCTGTCGTTGCTATATCCTCAACATATTTACGTTTGTCGGTTCTGATGCTCCTCTTCACTTGCTTGTTTGCCTCTGTGTATTCGGCTTGTGCCTTGGCTTTTTCTGCTTCTTGTTCCACCTTGCTTCAATCTTATCCAGTGTACCAACAGTGATCCATTCTTTGTGATGGTGCTTCTTGTAGCCCAGAACCTCTTTACATGTTGAAACGATTGCTTCTTTGATACCTTTCCAGTTGCTCTCCATGGTAGTTCCCTCTCCATTGAGTAGGTCATGAAAGGCCTGGAACCTGTTGCTGAGGGCTATGTTGAATTTGTTGAGTTTGTCAGCATCTCGAAGAAAGGCCGTATTAAACTTTTGTGATGTTGTCCGCACCGTTGTCCAGTGCTTCTTGAGTTTTAGTTTGATCTTGGCGACCAGCAAATGATGATCGGATGCTATATCAGCTCCTCTTCTGGTTCTCACATCCTCCATCGTCCTCCTGAACTTTTTGTTGATGCAGATATGGTCGATTTGATTCTGTGTAGTGTGATCCGATGAAATCCAAGTGGCTTTGTGTATGTTTTTATGTGGAAATATGGTGCCACCTATGACCAGTTTATTGAAGGCACATAGGTTTGCAAATCTCTCACCATTTTCGTTCCTTTCTCCCAGTCCATATTGTCCCATGACGTCTTCGTATCCAGTGTTGTCCTTTCCAACCTTGGCATTGAGATCTCCCATCAGAATGGTCAGGTCCTTGGTTGGGCACTTCTCGAAGATGGACTGCAGTCTATCGTAGAATTGGTTATTAGCTTCTTCATCGTATTCGTTAGTGGGCGCATAGCATTGGATGTCGTTCATTGTAATGCCCTCTCTCTCTTTGTTTTAAAGGAGGCTTTGATGATCCTTGGTCCATGAGATTCCCATCCTATAAGTGCATTTTGTGCTTTCCTGGATAGCATCAATGCAACTCCTTGTGTATGTGGGGCATTTTCTTCTTCATGACCGGAGTATAACAGAAGTTCTCCTGAAGACAGTCGTTGTTGTCCAACCTGCGTCCAATATGTTTCTTTGATTCCAAGAACCTCCAGGTTGTATTTTCTCATTTCTGCAGCGATTTGGAAAATTCTTCCGGTCTCCCACATTGTCCGGACATTCCATGTACCTATAAAAATTGTCGCTCTGGTTGTAAGAAGGTGCATCGGCCTCATGACTTGCGAAGGAACTCGGCTTTCATGATGAGACGTCATAATTATTCCTTCTACTCCCAGGTGAGAGTTTAAATGGTTTGAATGATGTTTCCTGGTTAGCGTTTTTTTAGCGAGTTGATTTTCTACGGGATGGGTTCGCTAACCCCATGCCCAACCCTCCTCCTTTACCCGGGCTTGGGACCGGCAGTAACCCCCAGAGGAGCTACAGGCGGAGTTGAAAATTTAAGTAACTAATATCAAATGAATTCATACACTAAATACTTCATTCACAACATTTTAATCAATTGTTCCTTCATTTCCATATCAATCATTCTCTGTTCTCATTCTCTTCTATTTGATCTTCTTAACCTTGTACCACCAGATATTTCACTTTGCATTGATGATACATACT